GCCTAAAAACATCTGTTTTGACTGTTTTTTTTTTCAAAAATTTGACTGCGACGCAGAAATTTTGGCCAAAACGGACTTTTTAGTGCTTTGGCAGAGCTTGAAAAATTAATTTGGTCAACCTAAACAAAAAAAAGGTCGACAAAAAATTTCGAAAATTGTCATAGTCACTTGAGGTCTATATATTTTTGAGAAAATAGTAGCCAGCCTGGCAGTCAGGACCGTAAAAAATTGTCAAATTGCACTACTATGGTTCGATATTTTCCAAAATCTCGAGCTTCACTAATTTTCCTTTTTTTGACAAATTAGCAATTAGGGCTGCAATAATGATTTACAAACAGAACATAATTCTCAGTGGGAGCAAAAACAGATACTGATTTGATAAAATCGCTGCACACTTATCTCAGATATCTGTTTTTTTGTTGAAATTTTGCATCTTAATATGACATCAGCCTCGTAGAGCAGACCATATCCCCAAAGTTACCGAGTCTTATTTCAAATTTCGACTGTTACACTGCGTATTACCCGCACCGAAGTTTCTCGGAATTATATTGAGAAAATGTTGCCATTATAATCGATTATGTGTAACCAATTTAAGCAACATTTTCTATAATAATAAAAAGAAAATAGATTATTTTCATGAAGATTATATTGCCTTATAATTCCACTAAAATGTATTTTTATCTCCACATAATCTCAACAAAATCTATTTTTTCGCCCTGAAATCGCCATGAAATCACAATAAAATCGATTGCTTTTGCTATAAAATTGCAATAAAATCTATTGTTTTTGCCATAAAATTGCAATAAAATCTATTGTTTTTGCCATAAAATCGCAAAAAAACTATTGCTATCGCCATAAAATTGCAATAAAATCGATTATGTTGTCAAAAAATTTGATTATTTTGTCAGAAAAATTGATTTTTCTCTTCTTAAAAGCATGCTATTTGAAAAATCAAAACAAAAGTTGAATTCAAACCAAACGACACAAATCATGAAAATAATCAATATAAACCAGATTTTGAGCTCGAAAATATGCAATGAAATCATAGAAAATCATCATTGTAAATCAGATCTTGGGCAAAAACCTATGAAACAAATGAAGAAATGGATTAACATAAATCACATTTTGAGCTCAAAAATATGCAACAAAAATATATAAAATCATCATTGTAAATCAGATCACGATTTTGATTCTTGAGATCTTGATTTAAGTCTGCTGGAAACCTTCTAATTAAAGATTTGGGCGCTCAGTTGTCCTGTTTCACCATTAACTTCGTAACATGTGCATCACAATGTGCCAACACGTGCCAACAAAACAGATTTCTTTCTATTAGTTAAAGTAGCATAGTCAGTTCGATCTCGCTATCTTCTGTGAGCTTTCTATCAAAAAACTGAAAACAAAGCTCGGCAAAAAAACCAATGTATCCGAACATCAGTCGGTCGAAAATCTTAATCTACTAACTTAAAAAAAACTTTTTCACAAAGGTACAATTTGAATTTACACAATCGACTGAATTGTCAAGTTTGACATCGAACTTTCACATTCGTCACTACAAAACTGCAGTTGAACGAAATGATGGATCAATAAATCTTGAAAAATACTAATTTTTTTTGGGAAATCTTTGTTTCAACGCAGCAAAAATTTGTACTGGCTCATATATTTGAATGCATGGCTACGATAGCTTATTGATCGGTATCGAGTACTCCAAATTCTTCGGCTATCATAATTTCATGTTGCTCAATGATTAATTCCTTAATTTACTGAGAAAACTTTTCTGTAGGAAGTTCCCATCGAGGTAGCTGCGCTTCGAGTTTCTGTGTAAGCATATCCCGCCTCAACGTAGATAATTTAGCTCCACTACTTTTCGGTAAGTCTCTTCCTCTTCTTTCGGTATTGTCTTTTTAGCAAGAACCAAATTTCGCTCACAGTCAATCTTTTCAAGCATCAAGCGGCAGCTGTTATGCTCTACAAAAAATTTACTAGCCAAATGTTTCCCGAATTTGGATGTTTGTGGCTGGGCGTAAATTTGCATCAAGTTTAGTATCCCAGTCCTTTCAAACCAAACTGTTTCACCGGATTCGTTATTGGACACGAGTTCTTCTCCAGTGATTTCAACCGACAACCTTTTAAGAACTTTTAAGGTTATCAGCTTTTACTTGCGATCTTACTGTTTTAAAATTTTTTTGGTGTGCTTCAATTTCGTGATCAATTCCATCCTCCAACTCCTGAATCAATTGCTTCTGGCTGCTGGATTCTTTTGGAATTGACGTCGAAGGAAATTCATCGTTTCCTTCGATCATGCTTTATCTTGACATCTAAGACAATACGCCAGGATCGTGCATTGGTTTACCAAAAGCATGCGCAGTACCACGAACAATATTTGCACTAACAGAATTGTTTTTCCTCATTCGGTGTGAAAACTGTCTCACCTATAGTTCTCGAAGCGCCAATACTCATTTCAATTTCAAGGTTATCAGAAGATGCTCTGCAAGAATTTTCAAACCTGAAAGTAATTGACATGAGTGAAGCAATTGTTACATATGGGACAACACTTTTCTTGATATTGCGAAACAAAAAACTGTCTGCTCATCAAAATCAATCGACAAAGTGTACAGCATCTTAATTTTAACACAAAGGCGCAAATAACTTTAACACAAAGGCGCAAATAATTTTAACAAAGGCGCAAAACAATTTTTGCTCAAACATACCGCACTCAGCCTACAAAAAATTTTGAAGTAAATTTTTTTTTGCATGGTACTTCTTTGCGGCCATATCTGTGCCAAATTGATCGCCTCCTTCAATGGCGATTTCGACCGCCTCGTCGGTTTTTTTTGTAAAATTATGCTTTACCATTTACACTAAAATGTTCTGAAGCTTTCTCGCGGCCACTCGTCGAAAACCTTCTCTGTTCATTTTAGCTCCTATTCGGTCATTGATGAGCTGGCAGTTTTCCTCAGCTTTAAAATTATGAAAAGCAGCTATCCGACGAAATACGGAAGATCCCTCTTTTGGGTCAATAGACGTGAAAGCAATTGTTTCGTCCCCTTCTCCAAACCACATGGACTCATCGATATTCCGTTTTGCCACCGGACCTGATTTCCACGATGAACCAGGGTTGATTTTCTCACCAATGTGCCATATTGTTCATTGAGTTTTTTTCTAGCCGCCATTTTTGATGCAAGCTCGTTGTTTACTTTGTTCAGCTCTGCAAATTTAGCAACCACAGTGTCACTAAACATATTTGCTTCCTACGGTTCAAAGGCAATCACTTCTTCATGGCAAACAAAACATATTTTTGTCAAATACAATTGATTTGTTAGGGTGGTCGTTCTTGCTATGCTAAAAACACCTTTAGAAAAATTGTTGTTTTAGCTATTAATTAACTAGAAAGCAGATACTCCATCATCATTCAGGTCAACATGTGGGTCTTCATTTGAAAATTTGTTTTCAAACTTGGTCAATTTCTATGTCATAGCCCTGTTATGTTTTCAACCAGAACAGTTGGATTTTTTTGCACCAATCTCCTTCAGAATCGAACTCGCTAAACTCAAGTATGACGACAGCCAAGTTTAATTTAGGAAAAACGTTTCTTGTTCAAGTATTAATTTTTTCATTAGTTATTGTCCTTACTCTTTTCAAAAAAATTAAGTATCTCTTACAGTGCTTGATCTTGAAGGTTGACTTGAGGCTTCTCAAATCTTTTTTGTTTTGCCCCACGTTTGCTTCGCCGATGTATTTTCGTTTTGCATTGCTTCTTAGCAGGACCTCTCTCTCTCTCTCAACCTCTTGAAATTGCTTTTCTGGTATCTCCCCGGCATTTTTTGTATCGCAACCGCGCTCACTAAAAGGTTTAAATCTGAAAGTTTCAAACCTTGAGTTGTTTTTGCGAGGCTTATGCAGGACATTTTTTACGGGGCAGTTTTCAGTCGTAACGAAATTTCCAATAAAAATAGAAATTAAATGAAATGATTACTCACAGAACAAATCCGTGTTCTTCTTTCGGAGCCCTGAATGTTCCGACTGCCCTTAAATTGGTCTCGATTAGTTTCTTGTATTCTGGCAAAACTGTGAATTTTAGGCTGATAATACCAAAATTTAAAAGTTACCATTTGGGTCGTGAATGGATTTAATAAAAACAATTAGCTGCCTCAATTCAATTTGGATTAAGTTTGTAGTGCGCGGGATAAAGCGCCATGTGAAAACTATAAAACTAGCAGTATAGACAGACTTGTGGCAGGTTACTATACTAGTTTGCACACCCGTCTGGGCACATGCAGCTCAAGAGATCGATCCCCCGAGGGGCTAGAGTTTTGTAAAAAGAGGTCTGATTAAAAATACTACGAGGGGCTAGAGATTTGTAAAAAAAAAAGTCTGTCTAAAATGCTAGTTTTATACTTTTCACAAGGCGCTTTATACCGCGCACTGCAAACTTGTTCCAAATTGAATTGAGGCAGTTAATTGTTTTCATTAAAACCATACACGACCCAAACTGTAATTTTTTAAATTTTGATATTATCAGCCTAAAATTCACAGTTTTGCCCTGATACGAGCAGTGTTTTTTTTATATTGTAACAAAAATTTTGAATATTTTTTGAATTCTAAATACTGACTGATTTGTTTTCTAAAGGTTAGCTATTTTGAAGAAAACAAAGGATCATAATTAATGAAAATTGAGCTATAATCGAACCGCTGTTGTGCCCCTGCTTTAGAAATGCATGCAATTTTTTTTGGCTATTTTTCTGGGCTGGCTAATGTTTCCTCACCCTCAGGCAACAAGCACGGATCATGGTGGGCCTCGAACATCCGACCATTCGCGTGAGAGGCGGAGACGTAACGACTTCACCGCCGCTCCCCTTAATACAATTATTTAGAATTTTGTCGGTAGAATCTATGATATGCCTATAATTGAAATCTATCTGTGCTCGGTGTGGGCTGACTGGAAAAATTTAAGTTGGATGATAACATCTAAGACCAGTTTAACTTGGTTGAATCGTGACTTTGATTTTAAGTTTTTTTTTGGGCGGGTGCGATAATTGAAAAAAGTTGGCTCTCCTTTTTGGCTCTGTGTTGATTTCGCAAGTCTTAAATTGATTGTGCTTGAGGTTAAACTATGCTTGCCAACAAAAGTAATATGGATTTATTTGAACTTGAAACTATATTCTGATGTGTCGAATTTGATGTTTTTTGACCTTTCACATTGGATCAGATTTACTTCAATCTGTTTTGTTTTATTTGTACCAAGAATTTCATTTTCCCTCCTTAAATAGCTTTTTGTTACTACATAGATCAATATAGATCAACAAAAGTGTTCAAACCGATTTTAACCAATGATTTTACCAAATGTTATGTCCTTTCAGTTTATGGCTTGAAGGCTGCACAAAAAACGTCATTACTGGTTTTGTAATTTGATCACAGCAGTGTTATGCTTCATTTAACATTGGTTGGTTTCCGTTGGTCTGAGAATAGTTTGATGGATTACGACTGAAATTCAAAATTATGGATCAATCTTCACATGGTGGTCACGTGCCTAGTCTATCTTGGTCCTCGGCGCCTGAGGAGATAGTTGTTCAGGTCAGTTATTTCACTTAAATCAAAAATTTTTCTTTTTCAACTGTTTTAATCGAATTGTCTCCTGAGAATAGCGGCGACGTATTCATTCCGTTCTTCAACGAGGAAACGTTCTAAGTACCGTTAAACTAATCAGATGAAAGGTCATTTTTAAGAAATGAACGTCTCTGTAGTGAATACCTGTGCTGCTTTGATTTCTGGGCTTCAAAGAGTCAAAAAATATATCGAAAGTTTTTGGTTATTAAAATTATTATCGATTAAATTAGAATAGAGACAACTCAACATTAGTGCATGTTCACATAGGCCTAGAAATAATCTACAAATTAAGATCTAACCAATTCAGCTCCTTTAGTACGGAAAATTTGCTATGGAAGAATATTGGAAACTTAATTTTACCTGTAACAACTATTAATTCGAGCTTTCGAAGGTTATTATTTCGCATTGCGCAATGATGAAAGAAAAAAAATTATGCACTGTGGAACAAAATTTTCATTTTTGGAACTGTTTAACAAATTTTTTCGCTGTAATTTTTCGGTGGAAGTATGGAACTAAGGTAGAATAAAAGCGTCTAATCACTGAAAAACATGTTAGCCTTTACTTGAGTTGAAAATAGCATGTAACATATTGCGCAAAAAAGAACCAAGTTTTTCGAACTAAGTTGAAATTTTACTCGCAAAAATCCTCTTTGTAATCTCCGACTCGAAATCTGTGTAATCTGTTCTGGACTCAACTACTAGAAAAGACTGACTCTGATGTTTTTTCTTCATATTTTTAACTGGTTGAAATTGCGAAGCAGATTGTTCGGCGCACAGAAAGTTCGGCCAAAGACAATTTAGCCAATTTGAAATTCAGACAATTCAGCCAAAAGCATACAGACAATTCAGCCTGAGACGATTCAGCCAGTTTTACAGAGCGCTAGATTCGAAAGAAAAATCAGAATTGAAGTTATTTTTCGGTTTAAGGTCGCCGGTTTAAGGTCGCCGATAACCGGCTCTAAATTTCGTATAGAGTCCTACCCTCTGTTGGCAAGCTCGAAACACGTTGGCGCGACTGCGGCGGTCACTATTATTGGCCGAATTTTCTCTGGCTGAATTGTCTGTATATTTTTGGCTAAATTATCTGAATTTCAAATCGGCTGAATTGTCTTCGGCCGAATTGTCTGGACGTGGAGCGTTCACATGATTAAAAGATCTTTTTAGACAATCAGATTTGAGCATAATACATGCAGGCCTTTCAAAATTTGGGGAGATTGTTAAATAAGTCTATTCTGGGGGAGATTGTTCTCATGGACCAAAATATGTTACGTAGTAAATCTGTCAAAAATTATCTTTCGGCGAAATTCAATTTTTCTCATAAATGTCACCTGTTCTAATTTTGTATAGCAAAAATCTTGACTGATTTTCTAATACCTCTAGGTGTTCCTGCACCTTAGTCTATTCTGGGGGAGATTGTTCTCATGGACCAAAATATGTTACGTAGTAAATCTGTCAAAAATTATCTTTCGGCGAAATTCAATTTTTCTCATAAATGTCACCTGTTCTAATTTTGTATAGCAAAAATCTTGACTGATTTTCTAATTCCTCTAGGTGTTCCTGCACCTGTCCCCGGCCGAGAGGGGTCTGGCTAGACAAGTGTGCAAGAGATGGGACATAGCCAGTTCACACCCAGCTGTGTTGCGCAACTCAGTCCTGAAACTGGTCGGCTCATTCGGGGGACTCTCTTTGAAGTATCTCACATGGAACGAACGCATCAGGTCAGCCCACAAGGGAGTGCGGTCTGTATTTAGACAACCGCGTATTCATATTCGTCGTCAGTAAGCAGACAATTACCATATTAACCAATGAGAATCGAGATGAGAAAGCAAACTTACGAAGTAAGTAATTTAATTATTCATTTCTTCATTGTCTCAATTCTGATTGGTTACTATAGCATTTGTCTGCTTACTGACTAGTCTGAATACGCGGTTGTCTCCATGCTGCTACGTAACCGCTCACAAGAGTCATGGGGGATCAAAGTGTATAATCTAGCAATTTCTTTTAAACTGCCGAAAGCTTTGACTTGATTACCCTTTGTTGGGGTACAATTTTGATGGAGGGGCTCTCTACAGCCAAAGTATAAACCAGCTACCATATAAACCAGTCGGAAATGCGTAATTGTTATATAATACTTATGTAACAATTATATAACAGTTACAAACGTTATGCAAATTTGATTCATATGACGTAACTTTTCGTCTGGTTTATATACTTTTGTTTCATATGACGTAACTTTTCGGCTCGTTTATTCACACTCAATAAAATATTTTAGTTTCCGTTTGATAAGACAGGTTGTATGAAAAGATATGGGAGCTGGTCTTGATTTTATATTTCAAGACTCTTTGAAAAAGTTTTCTCTTTTCGCAATAAAAAGTTTTATCGGAAATTAGATCATCGATTGTAAAAAAAAATGGCATCAATAGAAATAAAGGCTATTACTTTGTGTGCCTGTATTTCCACGTAGTATATTTTCCCCATACTCTACCTTTCTACGGCCCGGCTTATTAATGGGGGAATATTTGACCTTGTTTCTCGAAAAGTACTCCCAAATCTGGGATTGAAGGTGCAATCGATAGAAATGGTTTTGTGTATGTTCCCTGAATCAATCAGCGCCATTGCCCTTATATTTATAGAGAAAAGTGACAGCTCTAAGAAGAGGCTTTTTAAACTTGTGACCATTTTAGTGAAATTTTTCTGACTTTTTTTTCAAAATCTACTCTCCCAAGTTTGGGATGACGGGCTCAATCGAAATCGCAGGTTGTGAGATACTTCAGCCTAATTGTTGTAAATGACATTTTGACTGTTCTTGTGAATTTTTTCAATTTTCTCGAAAAATAGCCTCCCAAATCTGGGTTTAAGCGTGCAGTCGAAAGCACAGCGTACAAAATTTTTCCTGCAGAAAGGCTGCGCCATAATTCTTGTAGAAAAAAGTTAAAGCCTTAAGAACTCTATTTTTTGAATCTAGACAATTTTTGTGAAGCTTTTCGACTTCTCTGGAAAACTATCCTCCTAAAATTGAGGTTAAGTGATCAATTGACAGAAAGACCCGTGGGTTTCTTCCCTGCATAAACGGTTGCGCCCTAATATTAGTAGAAAAAATTTATACCTGAAAAAAGCCACTTTTAGACAACTTGACTATTTTTGTGACACTTATTGACTTTTCTCGAAAACTAATCTCCCAAATCTGGGAAAGCAAAGTACGCGAGGCATTGTGTAGGATTATAGATAAATTATATCATACATTACAGGAGACTATTTGGGTCTATTTTGAAATAAGTCATGGAGTACAACCTTGTCAGCACTTCAAATTTAACTTCACGTTGAACTGTTCTGCCATACTGTCAACTTTCATAGCTTCATGACAGGACGTATGAGCTCCCAAGTTACATCTTTGCTTTTAGTTGATATATGAGATAACACTGAAAATTAAAATGGTTCGGGAATTAATTTGGTGGTTTTTGTTTTTGCACCAATTGCCTACCATGCAGAAATTGAAAATTTTGTTTCCTTATGCGGTTGTCTGTTTGTACTGCTTTATAACCTAATTTGCTGTATTCAGTGCTTTTCACAAATTCACTTCAGTGCAATTCAATTGCTGTCACTGGAGAATTAACTATCAATTACAACGAATTTTGGATCAAGAGAACCAGCTGCCCCTAAAATAATTTAGGGAGGAGATAGTTCACTTGGATAATTAGGTTTGAGCTTAGTTTCACATTGGCCCTAATTTTAATCGAAAAGTTAATTCGAAATCAATTGAAAAAAAATTTAATCCCCGTTAAGGTTGTTTTGAAGAAAAATTCTTATTCTGACCTTAATAGTTTGTTGTTAGTCCTAGATAAGAAGTGAAAGCATGCAATCCAAAAATATTAGTTTGAAAATTGTAGATAAAAAAGTTCTAAATTGTTTTTTGCTGGGGCTAATGAATTGCAAATAACTGTTTGAGAGAAAACTATAACCGAAATTATTGGAAAGTTTGAAGTAATTGATGGTAATGTTCCTTTCCTGTTCTTTTGGCTTGGTTGTATTTGCTTACTCTCATGCCGGAACTCTTTCTCACTGCGTAAAATAACGTGAGATAGGTACTATTATGGTAGAGTGGTCCGTCGAACAAGCAACTATGCGAAATATGTTGAGTCAGAAATTTCAGATTAAAAATTGTTTTAAAAATATCGTGTAGATTTAGGTGATTGTCTCTCTAGGTCCGTGCACACTCTAACTTAACGGCACCGCAAAGTGGTCCCTTGGGTAATCAATTTAGCGGGCGACTGAGGTTCACTACTATCCACAATCCCGAAAAGTTTATCTTTGTCGCAAGTATCCTTTATCGTACTGCGTTGCGTGCCACTTTTTTTCTCTGCTCTTCTGGCTGTATCGATCGCAATCATAATCGCAAGATCGCAAGATTTTTCAATTGCGGTTATTTTCAATAAAACCAAAATACGGATACGCAGGGATCCAAAGTGTCCAGAATACAATCTAGTTATCTAATCAAAAGGAAAGGGGTCGTGATCAATCAACACAATTGCCTGATTGCAGTTCAACTTCTCGTTGGTTCAGCTAACTGATTCTGCTTCTCTAGATAATCCCGACTATCCAATTACACTCAGTAATTCCACACAACTAATTTGTTCGACTTGCTTAAATTAACAATGTATCTACAGGTACCTTCAAGTATCTTTGAGGTACTTTTAACTGTTACCTCTAATTTCGAGAATCAACTGTTCTCGCTTTTAGCATAAGTTTACACTAACTAACTTTGAGAACCAACTGTAATCTCGCTTCGTGCTAATTGTTGTCTAAATTACTATGAGAACGAACCGTTCGCTCTCTTAGCTAATTATTCTGCCAAAGGGTAGGCTCTCTCCGTAACTTGTTGCTGTTTTTCGATTTGAGTTTCTCTGATAGCTATATTTATGATTGTTCCGGAAAGGTTGTTTTACAAAATGGAACATTCTGTCGATATTGAAAGAGGTGCGTGAGGTCACTTAAAGCTATCGAGGAGGCTATTACCATAACTGGAATAAGATGTCCGTTCCAGTTATCACGTAGAGTATCTGCTTCACAACTGTCGGGCCATTTCCATTGACTACGAAGGCTGTGTCGAAAGCCGCATGACGACCCTTTTGTTCGACCCTTGTCGAACGCGGATTCCTCGAGTCCGATCTCCACGTTTTGCGCGAAATGCTGCGGGTTCATATCTACGAGTATCGTATCGAGCAGAACCACGAGGATAACTGGAATTACGTCGCTGGACTAAGTGTGTTCGGTCCTGGTCGGAAGTGATTTACTTAATATACAAGGATCGAATTCAGTCGGGCGAAGGTCAATCTCCTCTCGTTACGGGGTTACGTCCGCGGTGGCTTAAAAGACGACATGTTATGATGACAACCGTTTCTGACGGGACTTCTGATGCTGCGCGCAGTGCTCCTATTGGATTTCTGAGAAATATGAACTCCGTAAATTGAAAAACGGTTCATTTTAAATGTATTAACTAACTCTCTCTTTTAAATGTATTATCTGTATTTTAATTGTTTTATCTCAGCTTTTTAACACCTCCCCCACCACCATCTCACATACAAGCATCAATTTAATGGTGTTACGAGGGGTTTCACAAGGTTAAGTATGCACATGCCAAATATTTTTGCCATAGTGTATGGCCTAATTATTCTGCATGCGGGGAAGCGCCTAACTCTCATTTCGTCTTGATGTCCTGTCTGTCGTCTTCTTTGCCTAGCACTAGCACCCACGCATTTGTTTCAAGAATTCTGACTCATAGATTTGAATGGTTAACCTTCCAATTACAACACAAACACAATTGTACCTCACTGTTTAGTAAACGTACGAAGAACGCAAAACAATTGAAATTGAATGAAATGCCGCATCGAGAGAGCGTGTATAAATATGAAGAAATGAATTTCATTTCATTGTTATGTATTGGCTTGCTTCGTTGTGCTCTGTTTCATGCGTTTGGTATGGGGATATAGCTCAGTGGTAGAGCATTCGACTGCAGATCGAGAGGTCCTCGGTTCGAACCCGGGTGTCCCCTGAATTTTTGGTTTTGTTATTATGTACAACAAATAAACAGCCTACGTTATAAACAATATTGATGTCTAAGATAATTTCGAAAGATATGAGTGAACTTGAGTGGTCTCTTCAGAATAAGACACCTGTATAGAGTTGGGAATGTACTAGTAAGTACACTCAAGATCAAATAACATGGTCCTGCATTTCAATTGCAATTTCAAGCAGATAAAATTGTTGGCCGACATGACCAAATTTAATTTTTAATCTGCAGAAGCCATTTTTTTTGAATTTTTCTTGTCTGAAAAAAGCGTACCGGCTCTTTTCCAGTTTGCCCCTCTTTCAAAATACCGAGTTTTATGTTTGTTTTATGTGTTATTACGGCTAAATGCGTGATGTTACGCTGTAAAGTATGAAGAACACATCTGTTCACAGTTGTGGATTTGTTCACCGCGCCAATTTCATTGCTTTATGACAACGTTAATTAAGCTTTTCAAAATTGAATTTGAAGGGGGGGGGGGTGGAAAAGAGCCAACTTACCATGTGACTTGAAAATATTTTTATTATTGAAGTTTTCATTGAATTGCCTGACCATGTTGGTTGAATTTGATTGGCTAATATTAGCCAATTGAATTTGACTGCCTAAATTTTAGCTCAAGCTGCAAAAGTATTGATTTTGGGCCGTTTTGTGCAT